ATCATGATTCTAACCTCAACTATATTCCTAAAAGCAAGAAAGGGTATCAAAAACTACAACTTGCCTTAGTTTGAAGAACACAAGCATCAAAGACCATTATTGCATAACACAAAACAAATTCGTTTTTCTCCAAAGATTCGATCACACCGACTGCATCAGGATGTTCCAGAGCGTCTACCATATATGTATGGATGCGTATTTTCATCAGGAATCCAACGCAAAAAGAATCATTCAATTCCGAGCTATATTGAGGGAGATATAGTTGAAATACTAACAGGGTGTCAAGAGTGACGGGAATTCACATGTTTTTCTTCAAGTTTGAGATCTAGGGTTTCTCTCTCTCATAAAACAATTAGAACTAACTTATATACTAACATAGTTTATGTGGACCCAAGGGAAAGATTAAAGTCAAGCCCAAAACCTTATATTAAACTATTAGCACATGCAACTCGACTAGTATTTCTTATTCAAAGGTATAGAGATGATAAGAAATTGTTCGAGATTTGAAACGAATGAGAGAGTTAATAATCCAGTTGGGTCAAGAAGAAAACCAAAGTGAGCAACTGGGTTTAAGAGAACCCAGGGAACTTACCACATTAGCGCTAGCTAGAAAAAAATAAAATGCTATTGACGGTATTTACCCTCAATCCGCATACGGACCGACCGTAGGAGAGACTCTCTGATATACATATATATATAAACTCATAACCTAGTCCCATATGGAATCCAATTTCTAATAAGCCCATGTTTCTACAATATTGGAAATACTGGGTATTACAAAAAAGCTTGAAGAAAAGCTGAAGTTAATTTTCACACAAAGTTAGAATGACTAATTATTCAGCACAAAAGAGATCTAAAAGGTCACACACAACTTGTTCGGTAGTAAGCATACCTTCATGTTTGTTGCTTATGTTTAGTTATTTAGGGTGCATCTCATTTATCACATATTTATCTTAAGATATGTTTGATTCGTGTGGGAAATAGATTTTTGGATAAAAAAATTTATCATGAGCAATTATTCGGTAAATAATTTTTTTTATAAAATGACTATAGGGCTATTTTGATCATGGAAATTATTGGAAAAACGTGTTAATATATTTTAAATGTTCAATTATTCGAAAAATAAATTTCTTATAAAGTGACTATAGTGCTATTTTGATCATGAAAATCATTGGAAAATCGTGTTAATATGTTTTTTTTAGTAAGAATACATTAACATTGAGCTCCAATATGTCCCACCATTTTAATTTATCATTTCATTTTAGAAATTTAGCGCTTATTTACTATGTAATCAAACATGAAAAATTTAGATTTTGCCGGTAAATCTTTTTCCCAAACTCGAATGAAACAGACCTTTAGTTCATTTAATTAGCTTTGCATTGTAGAAGCCTTTGCATTCTCAGTTCCTCTTTTTTTATGATCGATTTGATTACATTCGTCTCTCTTCTTCTGGTTCTGTGTATGATCATGAATACTACAACATCTTCATCAACCCTTTCTCTTTAGAAGGGTTTCTGGTTAGGTACTCTTGTTAATCGTTATAATTTTTTGAGATGATTTGTTTGGGAAAACATACGACATCTATCTAAATTTCATCGTTTCAAATTAAATTACATGTTTTAAACTTGGACCGTGCGTGTCATCCTTGTGCAGGGGCCATGCCAATCTTCTCTGTATCCTTCCAATTTTATCGTTCGATAGCATGCAAAACACATTTACCATCTCTATAAACTATACCAAGGTAAGAGCATCTAATGGGTAGTGTATAATTTATAAATATGCATAACGCACCAGTCAAAGATAGCATATACGTGAAAAATATAGCAGCTTAAAAATCGAGTTTGTTCGCAACATGAGGTTGTGTGGAACAAATTTTACTTTGGTCATACACAAGGTGGTGTTGCGTGCTACAAAGTTTATATAATGTTGTGTATAAAGTTTGATCCCGACTTTACATAAATAAAAGACTAAATGCACACATCACATAAATAAAATACTAAATGAAGCTTGCACTGTACACTTGCAAGTGAGTAAGTGACCACTGTACAAAAACAAGGTTTGTTGATATAATGTTGACCTGTACACTTGCACGCAAGGTCATGTTGCGTCTGATTTCTACCGTGTTGTGTTGCATATATACATATATTTTGCAGGGAAAAAAAAAATGGGCCCTCTTAACACATCGTAATATACGATCTTCCCTACTAAGAAACCTGTTAAAAAAAAAGGCCCCCTCGTCTTTAACGAGTCTGATGGACCATATTACCCTTTGAATTTTTTTTTCTCAAATTTCGTATTTCTTTTTCGCTGAGATATCTTCAGTTCACACTTCCTCTTTTATCTTCTATATTAACTCAAAACACATTTGCTTTCTATCAACTGAACTCATTATCCAAACATATTATTCTCTCTCCCCTCACTTGTTCCTTCACTCTCTTTATCAATAAAACATCTTGTTTTTTCCTTTGACAAATTCTTTTTTTTTTTCACTAGTTATCAATACAACATTACTTTAAAAGAAAATGCCTTCATCCTAACTCAAAAATACTACAACCACCATTGTACCCATAAGTGTTTGCATATATGTTGAAAACTGTTGAACCTTTGCATGTTTCATCACCACATAACATACAAAGAAATCTTGGCATAAATACATGTGTCAAATTTCACTATACATGTTAAATGGTTCATTGCTTACTATGCAAAAATTCCATTGCATGCTTTGCTACCATATCTAGGTATAGTTTGTCCACAAGTCTTTGAAAAAATTTCAAGTGTCTTGATGAATAAAATTGCAATGAGCTCTTGCCACCTCTGTGCACAAAATTCACAATACAAAGAGTTCATTGCATACACTAACACTATATTGCTTAGCATGCAAATATTTCATTGCATATTTTGCTAACTTATCTAGGCAAAATTTGCGAACAAGTCTTTAACATAATATCAGGAACTATCTGCACAAAATTCACAATACAAAGAGTTCATTGCATACACTAACACTATATTGCTTAGCATGCAAATATTTCATTGCATATTTTGCTAACTTATCTAGGCAAAATTTGCGAACAAGTCTTTAACATAATATCAGGAACTATCTGCACATCTTGGCACAACATTCACTACGCAAAGTGTTCATGGTATACATCAACATTTAGACATAACCACCCAACAAGTCTCCACATAGTATTTAAGAGCTACCTACACATTTTGGCACAATATTCACTATGCAAAGAGTTCATAGTATACATTGCCACAATATTTAGACATAACCACCCAATAAATCTTGACTAACACCACAAGTCATCCATGTTTCTAATATATTTTCTTATACTAAGCTCTATATACAATTTAAATCAAGTATGGTACCACCCCAGTCATTTGAAGATCAGAGTGGCATACTCCGCAGTAATTTTCAGTGTGA